ATTTCAAATACATTCCTTTAAAACTAAGAGTGAACATCTTGCCATGTAGTGCTTCTAGGTCAAAGTTACTGACCCTCTGTAGCAGGTAAGAGACACACATTGCAAATACCTGTACATGTTGTGTAAGGGTTGGGTATATGTCCACAGCTGGAGAGGCGTTTACCACTGAATTCAATTTCTGCTGTTTAATTAAAAATCTGCTGATAGCATTAGAGTGGAAAAAAATTATAATAACGATACATTTCTTAAAAGGCAAAAGCTCATCATACAAAGCATTTGGTTAGATCCCAGATCAAAGTGTAAAACCAAGTGTAAATCCAGTGTGATGGTCCGTCATCTTCAGTCACTAAGGAACATGTAACATAATGCTTTCAGTTTGATCAGTCAGAACAATGTTGGTGGTTTTTCTAAACTCCTGATTTTTGTCATTTTCCGGATATTGACAGTTGTTAATTCTCACTGTAGCAATTCTTCCCAGGAAATGGGTTTGGAGAAGACCTCCCGTTCGAGCCAAAGGTCATAGTTCATCTGGAAGTCCTCAGGCAGGTCCACCCGCTGTCCCAGAACACTCTGTAGACAGTTGTCCACAGGCAGGAAGTCCGGGTTGCTGTGACTCTTGTCGTAGCGGCGACTGTTGAAGCGTTCGATGTTGGCCCGCAGAGCGCACTCCTCCGCCTGGAAGTCCCAGGGACGAGCATCCAGATCTGCTCCAGGAGAGACAAACAGCAAATCATATTTAGTGTACCGGTCTTCTCTGACAACTCATAGGGCTTTTCAACCAACAGAACTGCTTCAGTTCTCATTTGTGGCCCAGTTCTGTCCGGGCACCACAGAACCAAATGCCATGAAGAGGACCAACACATTTCAAACACAGCGCTATTACATCTTACTGGACATGATGCAGGTAATGGCGTGCACCTTGGAAGTTGACTAGTAGCCTGCCATTACAAATCAAAGGATAATAAGATGATTACTATCATCCTACAGTGTTATATTTGTACTCTTTCCATCCAAAAAACAATAGTTGTTGTGGAGGAATCCACATTGTCTAGTCTTAGAATATCATGAGTAGCACTTTTGCAAACTTATTATCAAGTTTATATTGTCTTACATTTGTATAACATTGTTCCTTTGGAAGAAAAAACACACACGAGCACACACTACCTGAGCTGTGCTGCATTGTTTCCACTCACCGTTTCCATAGGCCCAGTCGTCATTGAGGCGATGTCGGACCTTCTGGTAGATGGCAGACATGGTCTTCATGTTGCTCTTCCTCCACTGACGTCCCAGGTATTTGGTCTGCACTTTAAGCAGCTTGAGGACGTAGAGCTGCATCATGGCCTGCTTGACCTTCAGCGCTCTCTTCAGGATGGGAGCTGACTTAAACACCACCAACATCTGGGAGAAAAAAGATCAGTATTATAACTGTATTTTTGTCCAGACATGATCCACCTGTTAGCATTAACTAGACATGAAGCACCCCCACCATTGTTCTAGAGTGCTTCCACTTGGTCAGTTTGTTGAGGATCCTCAACAGGTTGATACAGGAAAACAGATTCCTCCAGCAAAACTGATTGTTGTCTCCTGCTTCCTGTGACAGAGAAATTATTAACACAAGTTTGACATCAGCAGTCAAAGAAACACTAATCAGACAGTGATCTCTATGAAAGACATCAGAAAACTCACCAAACTCTCTGCAGTTAGCTCCGGGAGCTCATGTACCACACAGTACGGAAAGTCAAGTACTGAAATGCTATTGGAGCAAGAAGATAAATGCAATTTAAGTACAGGTCACTGACATTTAGCATAAATGAGAGTCATGTTTTTGTTATTTAAAGATGCTCTGAAAGTACCTATTCTTAGCTGTGATGTAAGACATGATGTTCTGGTTGAAGAACTTCAGAATGAGGGGGATGCAGTTGGCAAACACCAGGTGTTGAGCCATGTACTCAAACTATGAAAACAACACATTATTCAGTTTACTCAAAGTGAAATAGGAGATAAACAATTGCTTTAACACTTTCTAATGTCTAATATAGTTGCACTTAACGCTGAACTGTGAGTGATTAAGTGTGTGTCTTTCAGACCTGATAGATGTGGTTGAGTTTGAAATGCTTCAGCAGCAGCAGCAGGATGGCTGAGATGGCCTTGACGATGATCTCTTTGTGTCGGTTGACATCTACTCCGAGTTTCATGCTTTGCAACACTGTGGTCCTGCAGAGTCAGAGAGCCGAACCTGAGTCAGATCAGGTCAGATGACCTCTAGTCTGTACTGTTCACATTCAATCACACACCACTGAAAGCCTGCAAACCAGCATCTTGGATTATTTCTTGAAATGGTTCCATGTCTGCACTGCAAATGTGTCTTAACAGTTACTTGTTGTTCTGTTGCTGTTTCATACAATAAGGGGGAAGGCGAAACATGTTTAGCTAAAGTAACATGCTGACAAACAAACCACATCAGAAAAACCCCAGTACGCATAATTATATTTGAAACCAATTCCAGTAACATGATCTGTATATCTGCACTTCTGATTCAGATACTGATGTAACTATAATACTGGTATTAAAGTTAGAATATTTTCCTTGTTCAGAACCTGTTAGAATGGAGAAGGAAGCAGCAAACCAGTTCGACCCTTTTAAATACACTTCATCACTTACGGCATCTCCTCCGGCAGCACGTCTGCCAGAATGTTGATGGAGTCTGTTTTGGCTTTGGAGGTTGGAGCCGCTGCAAGCAGGATCTTCAGCAGTGCAATCTGACATTACGAGAGATCCATGATGTATCAGTTAGAAAACAGTCTGATATGGAGGCTTACACATGTCTCTAAGGGGCACTGTTTCAGAATCCCCATCTTTCTGCCACCTCTACTTTAGGTTCAAGGATTTTATTGTCAATTCACCATATGTGCAGGACATACAGAAATTGAAATACCGTTTCTCTCTCACCCAGTATTGGGTGCCATAACATTTAGGAACTAAAATAGAATAAAGTAGAATAAAAATAGTAATGGTAAAATCATAACAGGGTCTTAAAAGTTTAAGTTCTGGACTTGAGTGAGTTATAAATCAAGCCAATTATGTGAAGAGAAGCAAGGACAGATAGTAGCTACATCTGAATATTATTGTGAGAAGTAGAAGAGCTCTCACAGAAAGGAAAGTCAGAGGCAGATAAAAGAGCAATGAGTGTGTAAGAGTAGGAGGGACAGAGAGGTGAGGTGCGTTTGGTAGGAGGCAGAGTCTGTAATGTGTGGCGATCAATACTGCTTAGACTGTTGGTCTGAATCCTCTGTTAGTATGTCTGGTAGAGAAATGCTGCAAATACACAATCACCGAACTCAACGTTTTAGTCAGATATACTATATGACAGTGAGATAAGTATACTCTGATCCGCATTGGCATAAAACAAACTGTCCTTGAAACTACCCAGCCCTGGGTTCACTGACCATGTACTGAGGCAAACTGGGCAGAATTCCCTGATAGAGCAGCTCAGTGGCGCACATCTCCACCTCCTCTTCGCCCTGAACAGGACGAAGCAGAAAAGAAGAGACATAAAACACACAAGATGATGTTACCCAGTCACCTGGAGGTAGTTTGGTTTTGAGCCATAAACCTTCATGACCCTAAACAGAAGGGTGAAGAGTTCACTGGGCCCTGTGTGAAGTTAATGTCTTATATTGCTTATTTAGAAACACAAGCTTATTACAACTTATTACCAAAATGTTAGACGACAAGAGTAACGTGCGCTTCCTTATTCACAACAAATCATTTAATTGAATCATCAAAACAATTGTTTTTTGTTTTGACTTACACCAGAGAGAGGGGTTTTCTGAAAATCCTCCTCCTTTGCAATCTGCATCTCAGCTATGGAGATGTACTTGTGCTGGAAAAAAAAGAAACTTTAGCTTTATATATTTAAGTCGGAGGTGAGAAACTTTAGCTTTATATATTTAAGTCCAGGAGATATCTACCACTAGATATCTTCTTGGCAAAAACACAATTAATGAAATGCTGTGCAACACGTCGACATACCTGCTTTAATGTCTTGATGCTCTCATGAATTGGCCTGGGCAAGCCAACAACCGTGTCTGTGTCACTGCAAGACATGCACAAACGCAGCCATGCTTTAATACCTTATTTCAGCACACATACATACCTTTTAAGTTTCTTTTAGTTATAGCCAACAAAACAACAACCTTACCTCCCAAGCGTGTAACCAATGAATTTACTTCTACTTGATTCCAGGAAATTTTCAATGTCCTTTTCCCTGTTAGAGCAATAACAACAAAGTCAAAAACAAAACAAAACCTTATTCTAATCATCCCATTATCCTGCCTAAATCTTCATTACAGCTAAATGACAAAGGTACATAATCTTTCCCCTAGCTCATTACACACTGAGTGTTATTACTGAGTCATACTGAACAGCACCTGACTTTAGGAGCCCATGGAAGCCCTTTGGGGAAGGACACCCTCTCTGATGGAGGGTGAGGAATAGGGGGAGGCATCACCTCATCCCTTTCTAGAGGGAAAGTCTCTGGCTCAATAGAGTTATCACTGTCATCATTGTCATCCTCATCCTCACGAGAGTCATCGGCTTTGTACGGGTCCTTTTCATTGAATTGGTCGAGGTTGTCCTGTTTGATAAGTGCCTATGTGAGACACAAGGACACAGAGAAGACGCTAATTAGAAAACCCCCTAATTAGAAAAAAAAAAAAAAACAAGATATTACAGCCATTAGGCATCATTGTGCATCACTTAGAGATGGGTTGAACTAGTCATGGCAATGACACCTGTGGCTGTAACCCACATTACCTCTGGTCTGAGAGAACATAGCTGCAATAATGACTACCTTGTGCTCACGCCGTGCCCGTTTTTGTTGCTGCTCTATGAGATCAGAAGCAGATGCGGGTGGAGAAGCAGCCCTCATACTGCGAATGACTCGTATGCTGTCCTCCGGTAGAGGGGGGAGGCCCAATTCCTCACGCTTATGAACCTTTATGGTTTGCAGCTGCTCAAACCCTCCTAGTGTGAACTGAAACAGAACAGAGGATTTTAGTGTGGCTCTCCACTCCAAATGTCACTTTTCTGTTGTACGTGACGCACTTTAATATGAGCAAAGGAGAATTAAAGTTAACAGCTGCTTATGACAGACATTTCCATCTCTCACCAGTATGCTCTTCCACAACAGTAATAACACCTTCTTCATTGGGAAGTGGGGGGCATGACCACTGCAGAACTTGGTAACCATTCCAAAAAGCATGACAGAAACTGGTTCGTTGTTGAACAGAGGAGATCCTGGATTAGAGAAATAGGGTGGTGTTAGTTTACACGGCACGTTTGCTTTATACCCATGACATGACTGACACTGTCTGATGCTGGTAAAAATGTACCCAGCTCTGTTCTGAAGGTTTCCCTTATGATTTTCCATTCAGGCCTGTCAGCTGGGTCATCCTGCTGGATTGTTTCCACCATCAGGTACATTATGTTAAGCAGCACTCTGAGGTCTGTGCTATCTGCGAGAGAAATGGCTGGTTTTCTCACAGCACTACTACAGGCAGCGGTGTTACTGAAAGAGAAAAAACTCATTATGTAATATTAAATTCTCCAAAGAAAATTTAACAAAAGAAAACCTGTAGTCCTCTAGAGCCAACAATCTTTTTTTGCTTTGTTTCACTGTGGTCTAGCAAATAAAGCAGATTTTCTTTTCAGAAATCATTATCATGAAGTTAAAAAATCTCCTGGTTCAAATTCACATAAAGTGCTGACTGTCATACCCAAATAAGATACTGAAATCCAGAATGCCAATAAATATTTTCCATACTAATATCCTGCAACAAAAGCTAGGCTTACTCCTACATGGCTAGAAAACTGATGCAGAGCATACTCAATCTCCATGTTGAGCAGGTCCACCAGAGCAGAGAAGGTCCCCACATCTAACAGCAGGAAGATGTTGTATCTCATCCAGTGCTGCACCTCAGCTTCAGAGTCGCACTCCGCAAAGGTTCCTAGGGAAAAACACAGTCTAAGACCACGTTCACACTGCAGGCTGAAGTGACTCAAATCTGATCTTTTTGCCAAAATGCGACCCATATCCGATTTCCTTATGACAGTGTGAACAGCACAAATCCGATTTTTTCAAATCCGACCCAGGCCACTTTCATATGTGGTCCTAAATCGGATACGTATCCGATGTTTTGCAATGCGACATCAGTCTGAACGGCCAGGTCGCATTTCATGCAATTTTTATGTCATTGAAATGCGACAGACGTCAATTCTGCGCTGGAGGAGGCGAGGGGTAATAAAAAAATGGCAGACAACGGTGAGTCAGGTGGTGATAACGTTTCCCTTCTCACTCGGAAATTATTAATGAATTCTGTGTCTGTGAAGCCCCTCACGGAAGCCCACCAGTCCTGGCTCCGACTCCGCACCCACACATTCCTCTGTACAGAGGTAGCAGCCACTGCTCCACAAAAGGCCATAAGCAATATTTGTGCTCTCCTTCTTCTTGATATTCTTCTTATTATTATGTCTTTATTTGTATTGCAAATTGTCAGGTACATCGCTACGCACATGCTATCAGGAGCCACATCCATTTTTATTTCCGCAAACACAGTACGCTGCGTCTGACGTCACGTCCTCTTCTGCGCATGCGGGTCACTTCAGGGCCGTATACTGTTCACACATGAGACAGATGGCAGTCGCATTTAAATGACAGTGTGAACAACAGTGCAAAAAAAATCAGATTTCGGCAAAAAATCCGATCTGAGCATTAAGACCTGCAGTGTGAACGTAGTCTATATAACATCCTCGATCAATGCCACTTCTTACAAGGTGTCATTCTCTTTGAAATCATTTAATGCTAAACCAGTTTTAAGTGATGTGGACTGACCCTGAGCCATGTAAAGAATGGCTCTAGCGACCTTCAGCCTCTTCTCCCGCGCAGTCACCTCCAGACCGTCCAACAGGCGCATGGCGTGAGCTCTGTGCTCAGCTCCATCAAGCTCTGTCCACTTCTTTTCAGACACTACGGGACAGCAGAGGTAAAGATAATAAACGGTATTGAACATCTTCATCCTAGGTGTAATATACTGTTTATGAGAAGTCATTAAAATGTGAGTGAGTGTATGTAAGTTTGGCTACATACCATGTGTTCTGAATTCCTCTTCAAAACACTTCCTGTTAAGAGCAAACTCAGGTCCTTCCGTGTAACTGTACAACTCTAGAGCAAACAAAGAAAATATATAAATAATCATCTAACATATTACAAATGTTGAAAGAATGATGCCTTCAGGGAAACAGAAAAGAGATGTGAAATTTCATTCTGTATGATGACAAGCTGTGACAACAAACCTGACAGTTCTGCAGCCCACTTGTCTGTATCAGCATATTCAAACTCAAGGTCTGGAGACTCAGACAACCCCTGTGACACAATTTCATGGCAAAATGATTAGAGATTATTACATTAGAGTATTAACCCAACTGTCTAACAACAAAACTGGTTAGACAGACAGCTACAGAATAATACTGAATATTTACACCACAAAAAAATTCCTTTCTTACTTGCCCTTCAGTGGTATCTAGCCACTAAAGAGAATAATACACAGATCTCTCTATCATCCACATTAATTGTTACTACCAAAGAAGAAGACCTTAGGAAAACCGATGAGCGGTGTCTAGTTCTTTATAAAACCACTGTAATTTGCTTTGTAGTTTAGTATAGGTCATAAGAGAGTATTTACAAGAACAGATTATTGCTAATATGTGTATGGCTTATATATGGTCCTTTGAACCACATTTAATGCTAACATTTTAGATGGGAATTCTAGCAAAGTGTTTTCTATGTAGTGTTTGATTATTTTGACAAGCTGACAGAACAGCTTGTTGAAGTGATTTTCTTGCACAAGAATCCATCATCTGAACCACAAGTTGATGCTCTCTGTAAGAAAGCATACATTTATATATAAGCATATATTCCTTCTTCCTGGGTTTCAAAGTTTTAATGTCTATAGTACTTTTATGATGTTTTACTCGTGTTTTAGAGAATCTGTTCTTATTTTTGCTTGTTGGTATGGATCTGCCTTAAAACAAGAATAAACTGCAGGGCAGTGTCAAGGTATGCACTAAAGTTGCTTAAAAAAACTCTTAATGACCTTTCTAACCTGCATAAGGACAGGATCCAGAAAAAGGCTCAAACATTTTTTGACAGACTCCCTGTCCAAAGACTTTGTTACTTCATGCGGTTGCAGATTCAACTTGCCAAAATGCTGGGCAGAGTGAAAAACTCTTTTGACCCAGCAGCCGCTTGCTTCTCAAGCAATATGTAATAGTTGTTTTGTTTTGTCTGTTTGCTTTGCTATGCTATGCTGAGGAATGCAGTGTGAACTACGGGCTGTACAAAAAAATGCCCCTTTGGGAATAATAAATAAACAATCTAAATCTTTCACAATAACTTTGATTTCTTTATACCGATAGGATGGCTCCATGATACACATATCTATAGTGAACCTTTATCATAATGCTAGAGAATACATTAAAAAGAGAAGCGTGATAGGACCTGTTTCAACAGGTTCCTGACAGACAGCTCAGCCTGGCCTCTGACCAGCTAGCATCAGCTTGCTAGCGTCTAGCATGCTACATTACTGTTCCACGTTAAGATAACACTGGACTATAAATGAAGCATGGCAAACTGTAGGAACGTTATTCGGTAATCTCGCTTCCTGTGGTTAGTTTTCGTTGCTGTGTAATGGTAGAACTGACAGTTAAAACGATCTCGTTTGCTGTGGTTAGTTTTCGTTGCCGTGTAATGGTAGAACTGACAGTTAAAACTACATTGACGTTAGCCTAACAGAGCTCAATTAGCTTAGTGTTACAGAAACAGCAGAAAGGCCTTGTCTGGTGATGATTCATTGAAATCTCGTGCGGAAAATAAATTAAAGACTTCCGTCTACATACCTCAGAATCTTTTCTTGAATTGCGAGTAAAATCACCCCTACTCTTGTTAGGTAACATAGCTCTCTGTTTATTGTTTACCGGTAGCCCACTACCGTTTACACCGCCATCCATAATTTTTTTTTTTGGGCGCAGTGTCCTCCCGCGAGAACTGGTCTGCGAGAATTCGGCTGCACCGTAGATGCATCTTGTTTCTGCACACCATGTCCATTATTTTATCTGAATTTTGAGAAATTATTGCTTTAAAAAAAGAAAAATCAGTTCTCGTGACTGCATATTTTTATAACCTTATTTTTATGTTTGCCTTAGTTTTTCAGTTTTCTTTCCTTTTCTGGTTTTACACACAAATAGGCCTAGTCTCTATTTCTTGAAATATTAAGATCCAGATTTTCTGTTTAATACTTTGAGCAGACATAAATTAAATCAGGAAAGTGCCAAATATATACTTAATATCAGCTTCACGAATAATTTTAAAACCATCTTTGGGAAAAGTTGAATTTTAGCCTTTTAAGATAGGACATTAACATTATACTGTATATATAAAACAGGACCCACCTCCAGTCCCTTGTCGTGTCAATTGATGTTATGCTTTACGAATACATATTCTCTTATTCCCAAATGAAATTACAGTAAGTCAGATTACCACAAACCAATTGCCAGACTGTGAATATGGCGATTTAATAAGTCTGAGTCTGAGTTGCCCATATTGTCCAGTTGGTAAACCAGCCAGGACTGTATGTAATACTTAAATGTACTTACATGTAGGCTATAGGCAAGCTCTAATTATGTCTGTGAAATGACGTATCTGAGCCATTTTCAAATTTAAACAGTAGTTTATTAAAGAGAACTGTACACAGAATTTAAAGAGTGTTCTTTAAACTAAACTACAAATACAATGTTGAAACTACAGGGCCAGTTTATAGCTAATATATCTTTTGTAGAACACATCAACATTCAAGTCACAGTGGTATGCTTTTAATATTCAATTTGACAACAGTCTAGCTGTTTGCTCCAGTAATAACACATTCATTTGTCTCTAAAACTTGGGGTAAAATAACTATTATTACTAGTTAAAACAAAATGAATTAGTTATAAAAGGAATGTGCTACTAAGAAAATACCACTGTAAGTAATTACAACATCTTATTGTTCTAAGAAATAAAACTGGGATGGAAAAATACACTGGTGTAAAAAGTACATAGGAACATCATAATACCTATTTCAGTAATGTGAAACACAGATTTAGTAATTCTTCACCACTTTGGAAGTAAAATATTTTTGACAGAAGAAAACTGAAGTATGTTTTGCTGCATAGCTATCATTGTATATTGTAGAACAGCCGTATTGGGCATTACCATACATAGAGATAAACACAGTGTGAATATAAATTACTAAGTGAGTCACAAGGCACTGTCAACTGACCAGTAACCATAGTTACAATGCTCATATTGCTGACAATGATGTCCTCATTCAATGTCCTTGGCTCTAATGCCCTGAAAGCTGCGTGCAAAGATGAAAGCACTTTACAGTAGCATACTGTGGGCTAGTATTCAAACTGTAGGGCTAAGTGACACAAGCATAGACTCATTATAACAACAAATTGCTGCACACATTAAATACAGGAAGTACCTGTAACTGCAGATGGAGCTGAAGCTGTTTTGAAGGGTGATATACTGAATAAATGTGAAGCAACACCGCAACAAGGTAACAAGGTGCTGAACCCTCGGCAGGGACAGTAATACTTGTCAATTGTTTGGAGTAAGATCGGCCCACGGACAACCAGTGTGCTGAAATGTATTGAAGAGCTTTAAATTCAGCGAGAGACAACATAGTACCTGCACACTATGTAGTTTGAATAAAAAAGGATCACTCAAAATAATCTTCCAATATGGCCACTAACTTGAAAAAAAGCTTACTTTGGAATATAGAGAAGTAAATGTGGTATGCTGAATTAGTACATTTGACAAGCCTAACAAAACAGTGAACAATGAAAATCTTCAGGTAACAAAACACTGTTATAATAATGGTATAATAGCACAAGATAACAGCGATAAGTCAATACATCAGTCTAGGAAAATGTGCTGGCAACAAAGTTTATCCATGTCTACGCTCAGAGCATTTGAGAAGTTTATTTCTCTGTTATTAGCATCTTTATATATTTTGTGTGTTATACACTGGTTTATAAATCTTAATTTTAAAAACAATATCCTCTAGTTAACACAAGTTTAGGTCAGGAGAGGTCCATTTTTATTTATATAGCCCAATATCACAAATCACACATTTCTTGGCTAATCTAACAACAAACTCCATAGAATTTGGGTCATCAGATACTGTTGCATATTAAGTATTAACATACTCAACACACTATAAACTAGGTGAACCTATGGATGGCAAAGATCATAGACAGAGCACCAAATCTCAAGCTTATTTTACACTTCTACTATAAATGACAGTGAGATTAGACATGGATATTGAAGACAGACAGGGCAGACCTGGTAAAAATATATTTACAAATAATCTGAAATTTTTGAATGCCCTGAGGTGCAGATACTATTCTTACCAGACACCGACATCTTATAAATGGGCACATCTTTTCAAGAAAATAAATGTCAAACTCTCTCATTATATTTTGATACAGTCAAAATGTTCTTAAATTATTTCATTGTTCAAATCTGCTGACTGTTAGCATCAGTGTTAAGAACATTTCCTCTGTATTTTGTAGATGGAATGTATTAGTCGAGTGCTGTAGCACCAAACTGAAACTGCTTTAAGTTATTTTTGTTACTGCTGATCAGCTCCAAAACAAACTCATAGAAACGCAGCCTTGATTTACAATCAGCTTATCAATTTGTTATGGCTCATTTGTAATCAGGCAACTGCCCGTACAGTGGCATCTAATCAGTCAAACTCCCATGCATCTGATAAATGTAAGTGCAATATTCACTGGCCTTTTAGCTTTAATCTTGGTCCACCTACACACCTACAAACTCTGAAACATCTGGAGTTTGACTTGTTTGCCAGCCAGGAGTTTACACTGATTCTTTGTTGTTTTGTGCAAGGATAAGCTTCTCTGAACTTCTTTCCTGTAAATGGCTGCCAGCAGAAAGTTAAGAGACCCAAACTGATGAGCTAAAAGTGGCTCAAAAGCTTTGTGAGGTTGGCATTTCAAGTGACCCTTCAGCATTACACAAAGAAATATGATACAATGTTTATATAAAAATATTTCTTAATGCAGATTTAACCGATTTCACAACTAACCATTAATATTTCACAACTAACCCTTCCCTCTCACAGTCATTTGGCACCACATATTGATACATATTGATCATAACTCTAAAATAACCCAGGAGTCAGCAGAAATGGAAATGCAGTAGATGCACCAGAAAATTAAAATCTCATCCGAAAGCAGATGCAAGTGCTGTGGTTACACTGACTTTTCATAACCATGTGCATGAACTGAGAGCAGCAAATGAAGCAAAACCTGCTGCGGCCACCAATATACAACTAAATATAAGCTGTGGATCCAGTGAAGAGTATAAAATACACTGTACAGAAATCTTCTTTTTGCCTTAGTGACAGATAAAGTTGGGCCCTGTCCCTACATAGGTATGCTGTGGTGTTCTTGTAGACTAGTACCTGTGAATACCAAAACAAGACTGAGTTAAAGAAAAATGTTAAGAACAATTGTATGGATTTTTAGTATATGTTGTAGCCATCTGCAATCGATCAAGTAGAAAACACTAAACAACAGTTCATTACAGCTTCTCAAATATTAAGATTTAGTTACTTTTCTCTCTATATAGTTGCTCAGATTTTATGACTGCTGGTCTCATAAAATAAGCATGATAAGTATTATAAGGTTAAAAGTTATTAAACAAAAAGTCCACAGATTAACTGATAATAACTATATTTTACATAAAAAACTTTTTGAAGCCTTGTACCTGTAGTAGTTGGGTTTAAAAGGTCCGTTCTTGTTGAGGCCCAGGTATTTTGCCTGCTCATCAGTAAGCTCTGTCAGATGGGCATCAAAGGTAGCCAGATGGAGACTGGCAACATATTCATCTGTAATACACAGATATGGCTTAGTAGAAACAAGATACACTGCATGCATAAACAAGACAACGCAAGAAATCAACTTGTGTCTCTGTGCAGAACTACGCTGAGCAGTCACAGCTGTGGTTAGATCATCAGTTACAGCAGCATAGAACCATCTTTTAAACTTGTAATCACAAAACCAACATGCAAGGCAGACAAAAAAAATGTATTCACGCACTCCAGTACTACAGCTCAGCCACGAGTAATGTAACTTGTAAGCTCTGAACACTTTAAACACTACAGGTTCAGTATCTATACATCCTCACCCATCTTCTTGGGAAGTAGGTAAACATCCTGATTGTATCGACCCTCGGGAGCATTGTACAACTCTATGAGAGCCAGGGCCTGAAAACAAACATGTATTAATAACACTGTTCTAACACATTATGGATGTAATGAAGGCAAATAAATGCAACTGTGAACTATAGTACATCTGTAAACAGAAGTTGCATGGAGCTGCTGATGTACTAAGATTTTACTTTACTGAAACAAGCTCAGCTCAAATACCTTCTGTTGCTCTCTGGTGTTTTATTACAATATTACTGATTACATTTCCAGGTCAGAAAATGAGCTTATCTGCCAGGAAGGCCAAATAATTACAGCAAATATAAAAGCACCCGATGCAGCAGCCCTTTACACTCTGCTATCTGCCTACAACAATAACCACTGTGTGTTATTAGCTGCTGTCAACATGTAGCAACATGTTACCTGAGTAGTGGCTGTGATGGACAAGACAAAGGTTGGGACAGTGGAGCAGCTGAGGTTAAGGAGACGTCCCTATGGAGGATAACAACATGGGTTCAAGAACACAGGCTTAAATGTGATGTCTTACTGTGTTCGTCTCAACTCATAAACTGATAGTCATTCATTCAGTGTAAGCAACTTCAGTGGTCTGCAGGGGGTGTTAAGGTGGGCCCTCTGGTATGTTAACAACATTTTCTACAAATTGGCTGTTTTTACTAAGCACTCTCTTATTGATAAAAAAAAATCAATGACAGTATCATTATAAAAATATGGCTTAAACAACAAATATTATCAGTGATCTAAAGTTTCCATAATCCACTGCCTGAGTATAATTCATGCATGACAAAGTGACAGTCACTCATTAAGGGGTGCTGCATGTTGTATAGCAACCGCTATACAACATGCAGCATATTTTATATCCTATATTTATTAGTGTTCTTGTGTTTCAGTTGCTTAAAATTGCAATCCAGCCAAATAAGCTAACATCATTTTGTTTTCCACTAATGAGACTAACGCAGATTATTAAGTCTGTTAAAGCCCCAAGACTGCATTTATTACTTGCACATCTGTATTTATGATATATGATTGTAAGGCACACAGACATAATCCATCACCTCAGCTAGAAGTATAACTCTCTTCCCATCGGGCCAAATGATGTGATCCACCTGAGAGCGCACTCTCTCCCAGGTCAGCTCAGGGGTCCGAAGACTTGCCTGGAAAAACAAAAATGTCAGTCACCTTAAAACTGACAGTTGAAAACAATGTCACTGGGCTGCTTTTAAAAACAGTCTTTAGACATTGTTTGAAAGTTTATGCACACTAGTTAGAAATGGGGCAGCTTATATACAATGATCAGCCATAACATTATGACCACTAACAGGTGAAGTGAGTAACACTGATTATCTTGTTACAGTTGCACATATCAGTGTGTGGGGTACATTAGGCAGCAAGTGGACACTCAGTCCTTGAAGCTGATGTGTTGGAAGCGACTGGGTCAGAGCATCTCCCACACTGCAGGTCTTGTTGGGTGTTCCTGGTCTGCAGTGGTTAGTACCTACCAACAGTGTTTAAGGAAGGACAGACAGTGAACCAGAGACAGAGTCATGGACACCCAAGGCTCGCTGAGGTAGATTAAACTTTTAAAAGTCATTCATCCTTTTCAAAAGGTTCCATTTTGTTTGAATCTTTGTTAAAATGGTTGAAAATGAGAACTACTGTACTTTGGTCTCTATGAAGAGAAACATTCGGCAGCTATAGTGGTGATATATCACACCTAGAGTGAGGAGGCTGTTGAATGTGTCTAAACAGTTCTCTCTAACTTGTCCTCACGACCACAGTTTTCACTCCTTTTATATATGTTTTTCTCTGAATGGTCGACACATTTGTGCTCTTCCTGACAGTGTAACTATAAAAGCAAACTGATTCACAGAAGATGCACAGTGAGCTGCAGAGTGACACGAGTGCCACCCAACTGCCACACTGACTGTGTGCACAGTATTAGGCAGGTGGTCATAATGTTATGGCTGATTGGTGTATATAAGAACTCAGTTTCCACAGTAGGTTTAACTCTGAATTCTCCCACTGTAAACACTGGCTTACTACGTCAATCTCAGTATTGGAGTGGCCCATGTTGCAGACAATGGAGCCATTTTTCATTCGGTCCAGCTGATCCCTGGTCACCACATTCTTGTTCCCTGTGGAAACACACAATCATTCACCTTCAGTCAATGTACATCACCTACCACACATCGCAAAGGCCTATGAACTAAAACATATTTATGTCAGAGAGGTGCAGTTTACCATAGACTGAAAGGCTACACAAATGGAATCCTATATCAATGCATGTCAATAAGTAGCTACACAAGCATGACTTTAAGTCGAGTTACCAGTGCATGTGATGATGACATCAACAAGGCGAATGATCTCATTCAGCTTGACCACCCTGAATCCATCCATGCTGTTAACACACAAGTGAAAGAAGAGGTTCAGCATTCAGGCTCAGTGAGGACAAAAATATATATATATATATATATACACAATCATGAAGTGGAACGAAATTTATTGGATATTTCAAACTTTTTTAACAAATAAAAAACTGAATAATTGGGCGTGCAAAATTATTCAGCCCCTTTACTTTCAGTGCAGCAAACTCTCTCCAGAAGTTCAGTGAGGATCTCTGAATGATCCAATGTTGACCTAAATGACTAATGATGATAAATAGAATCCACCTGTGTGTAATCAAGTCTCCGTATAAATGCACCTGCACTGTGATAGTCTCAGAGGTCTGTTTAAAGCGCAGAGAGCATCATGAAGAACAAGGAACACACCAGGCAGGTCCGAGATACTGTTGTGGAGAAGTTTAAAGCCGGATTTGGATACAAAAAGATTTCCCAAGCTTTAAACATCTCAAGGAGCACTGTGCAAGTGATAATATTGAAATGGAAGGAGTATCAGACCACTGCAAATCTACCAAGACCTGGCCGTCCCTCTAAACTTTCAGCTCATACAAGGAGAAGACTGATCAGAGATGCAGCCAAGAGGCCCATGATCACTCTGGATGAACTGCAGAGATCTACAGCTGAGGTGGGAGACTCTGTCCATAGGACAACAATCAGTCGTATACTGCACAAATCTGGCCTTTATGGAAGAGTGGCAAGAAGAAAGCCATTTCTTAAAGATATCCATAAAAAGTGTTGTTTAAAGTTTGCCACAAGCCACCTGGGAGACGCACCAAACATGTGGAAGAAGGTGCTCTGGTCAGATGAAACCAAAATCGAACTTTTTGGCAACAATGCAAAACGTTATGTTTGGCGTAAAAGCAACACAGCTCATCACCCTGAACACACCATCCCCATTGTCAAACATGGTGGTGGCAGCATCCTGGTTTGGGCCTGCTTTTCTTCAGCAGGGACAGGGAAGATGGTTAAAATTGATGGGAAGATGGATGGAGCCAAATACAGGACCATTCTGGAAGGAAACCTGATGGAGTCTGCAAAAGACCTGAGACTGGGATGGAGATTTGTCTTCCAACAAGACAATGATCCAAAACATAAAGCAAAATCTACAATGGAATGGTTCACAAATAAACATATCCAGGTGTTAGAATGGCCAAGTCAAAGTCCAGACCTGAATCCACTCGAGAATCTGTGGAAAGAACTGAAAACTGCTGTTCACAAATGCTCTCCATCCAACCTCACTGAGCTCGAGCTGTTTTGCAAGGAGGCATGGGCAAAAATTTCAGTCTCTCGATGTGCAAAACTGATAGAGACATACCCCAAGTGACTTACAGCTGTAATCGCAGCAAAAGGTGGCGCTACCAAGTATTAACTTAAGGGGGCTGAATAATTTTGCACGGCCAATTTTTCAGTTTTTTATTTGTTAAAAAAGTTTGAAATATCCAATAAATTTCGTTCCACTTCATGATTGTGTCCCACTTGTTGTTGATTCTTCACAAAAAATTACAGTTTTATATCTTTATGTTTGAAGCCTGAAATGTGGCAAAAGGTTGCAAAGTTCAAGGGGGCCGAATACTTTCGCAAGGCACTGTATATATTTTTTTTTTTTTTACTGACAAGCGACTCGGTTCAACTGATAGGCTGGGCTCATTTGTATTACTGCTGAGTAGTTGAGTTTAAGCTGAACTGAATAGTGCAACAATATTTGGTTAGTTAATTAACAAAGCATTGTATCTGGCTTGCTTGAGCAGCTGTGCAATGTTGTTATCCCTGCCAGTCACATTTGTCAACATATTCTGTAATGAGATCATCCCAGTTCTTGTTTATCTCACCAGGCCTGTAGGGCGCAGATGGGATCAATCTCTGTAACATAGACAACGGCTCCCAGAGCTTTCAGAGCAGCACAGCAGCCTTTTCCAACCTGCAAAGACAAAATAATATACTGCTACACATCCTGATTACCTCGACCTTAATAAGGAAGTGACACACAGTATTTAAACACAAACCACCTTAATACAGAACCATCAAGGTTGTGGTTGCTAAACATAACAAGCCCATTAATCTCAATGACCTGCAAACTTTGACTCCTTAACATCACCTAGACTCAACAGTCAGAAGAAAATAAAACCTTGTCAAATGATATGTCTTAGGAGCCCATGCACTGTGTTGTGGGAGCTGTTGGTATCTCAATGAATCATCTTGTATGTATTCACAGCTTTGTGATCACAATTAGTGCAGCATTACTGTTAAAATCAGTATCTCACCTCACCGTACCCACAAATGACCACCTGTTTGCCTCCAAACATCACATCTGTGGTTCTCTTCAAGCTAGAGAGGTTTGAGACATAAGATTAGCACATTTTGTGGAAGTGAGAAACTACCAACCTGTATATGTGCATGTTAAATGATGTGTTTTCTGTAACAGTAAAACTTTACACAGTTCCTGATAATATAACAAGTCTGTGGAAAAATTCTTTACAAAACAGATTCTGTTTCTCTAAATATTCCCATAAACCTAAAGGTTATAGCATGCTGACATTTTGTGCCATAATGTTTAATGGAGTACCTGCTACAAGACCTTGCAGATAATTAATCAGAAGGTCTAGCAATAAATTATGAGGGGTGAGTGCAGAAAGCATTAAAGCGATGCAGTGCTATGCAGACACTGTTAAAGGGTACAAGACTATTCATGCTGCCTTGCTGATAATTAACAGCAGGGTAATAAATATAACAGGTCTGTTCTCAGGCTGCCTCATTGAGTCTTTAGCAGAGCCCAGAGAGTTTGCAGCATAGAAGAGTATTACAAAAAGATACTGAGGTGATATGTGATTAGATTTTATAGATTTGGTGCATAGCAATGTTTCCTGAGCCTGTCCAAGGTCTGTGGTTAAAGAGTGTTTTAATGGTGGGCTTAAAGCAGCTAATGATTCACCGGGGTGAAGTAAAAGCCACACAACTTTTACTTTAAACAACTGAACCAGAGTACTGATTGCAAAGTTCAATTGTATATTTAAAGAACTGGCTGTAATGACACAATTAATGCTGTGAAATTAAGAGCTTTTCACAGTTATCCCTTGGGAGAAAAAAAATACTACTATTTGGATGTGTTGGTGAGTTTATGACAGACTCCAGGCCACATTTGATTTTAACCCTCATGTCAACAGTTTTTCAGTGAAGTACATTCAGGGGCCTTCACTGCATGTTGTATTTCATTCATACCTTTAAGCCACTATAAAGCTTTCCAATAAACAAACCGTTTTTGTGTTTAAAATAGCTCCAGCTTTCCAGTAATCAAATACCTCAAACACAAACATACTCACCCGTCCAGGATTGATTCTCTGCAGCAGTACAGGTTGTCAAACTTCTGCTTTGTCACAGAGTCATTTACATTAATTGCAGGCACACAGAGCTTTCCCGCTTTAGACAGCTGATACAACCTGGAAAGAAGAGGGCATAAACATTTCACCTCATGTTAGTGTATAACTAAATATTAACAGGAAACGCATCTTTATTAGGCAACAAATTACCTGTGTACCCCAGTGACACTCTCCTCTACGATGCCCCTGATCTTCTTGAATACATTAGGGTATTTCTTGTACATCCAATGTGTCAAGTCTCCTCCATCATCAAGGATCTAACAGGAAAGAAGAGAAAGCTAAGATTTTCTTTATAACCATGAGTGAATACATTATAAAGCCTGACACTACTACTACTCTCCTTTTTTGGTACACATCCATTAAAAAAAATTTACCAATATTAAAAACATATACATTGCTATTCATTGAAATAATCTGAAAAGAATGGATGCTCTTATATTTTCATGGGTATATCATTCTCATACAGTATCACAGTGTTATGCTACAGAAACTGGCCCCTCACAAACATAACAAAAGAACATTTCCATATACCATATTAGGCTGCCAGCCCTCAGTGTTGACACAGCGGTCAATGCACCACCAGAAATCGTCCTCGGACTCCCCCTTCCAGGCAAAAACAGCCACACCTGAAACATAACAAGTAGGTAACAGCTTCAGAAATCCTACATCAACAATCCCGTGTCTGTCTACCATTTGGTTCATTCAGTCTACATTTATAGAACATGACAAGGTTCCTTTCATCCCCAAAGCTACTGAATCTGTGACAGTGGATTATTGAGACAAACAGACCAATATGGATAAAAACTCTTAGCACTATAATAATTCTACATTTTATATTATTATATTACATATATTACATATTATATTAATGTAATAGATATTGTGAATATCCTTACAGGGTGTAGGCACAAGTTGGAGAACCTGAAACATAACAAGTAGGTAACAGCTTCAGAAATCCTACATCAACAATCCCGTGTCTGTCTACCATTTGGTTCATTCAGTCTACATTTATAGAACATGACAAGGTTCCTTTCATCCCCAAAGCTACTGAATCTGTGACAGTGGATTATTGAGACAAACAGACCAATATGGATAAAAACTCTTAGCACTATAATAATTCTACATTTTATATTATTATATTACATATATTACATATTATATTAATGTAATAGATATTGTGAATATCATTACAGGGTGTAGGAACAAGTTGGAGAACTGCTCAACAACAATAGGTGTTTGTGCCCTGTACTTTAATAAAAAATGCAAGGTTTTTTTCCAGATAGAACAGCCTGGCATGTAGTAAACTATGTTCGGCAATAACTTACTGAACACTGGAGATAAAACACAATCACCCGAAATTGCAAGAGTTCCACTGAGCAACTCCTAAATCTGCTGTAATCCCTTTCAGCGTGTCAGATCATGAAAGGTCTACTGTGAAAATTTAGTACATACTGTACTTAGACCTTCACATAGCAACCACAGATAAAGGGCTCAAGTAGTGCTGCTCCTCCACTAAACAGCAGCTCTTGTCTGTTCCCATTGTCTCTGCAGGGCTGGTTTTTCAAGGTTTTCAGACATTTCTGAACACTATCCCTTGTTCTAAGACACAAATGTTCACTTGGCAAAGCACAATTCTTAAAACATGGTCTGAGCATTTTGTTACTTGTATTCAACTTGTAAATGTGTGATTTCTGGACTTTAGTAGCAGCAGAGGGCAAAACGGTGTCCATTACCTGTATTCAATATCACAAAAATGTGATGGGAGGGGGTCTGTGTTGGTGTTCTTCACCTTCTCTCCTGCTTACCTGTTTCTGACAGGGCAGCAGCCACTTCATTCTGTGTAGAGTATATGTTACAGGCAGTCCAGCGGCACTGAGCCCCCAGGGCCACCAGAGTTTCAATCAGCACCTGAAAAAGTAAGCCGGTAAAGAAGAAAGTCAAAAAAAGAGCCATTCACTTATCATTTACTGCATTCTGAAAATCAGTCATTTGTGTATTTATCATTCAATAACACAGAATGTTACAATGAAGAATTTTAGGAGTCAGGTAATATGAAGATCCTGTCATGTATGCAGTAGGCAGTGCAAACTCTGTGATAACAATTGACCTAAAAATCCTATCCTGAATAAGAGGCAGAATCACACTACAGCACCTGCTTCGGTGTTGAGGCTTAAAGTCAGAGAGAAATCTTACTGCAGTCTGGGCAGTGATGTGAGTGCAGCCCACAATTTTGGCACCTGCCAATGGTTTCTCACTCTGTGCTCTCTTCCTGAGTGAAAGCAGCGCCGACATATCTGAAAACAAGACGACATAAAAGGGGATGCATGTATGCAGAAGATGATGCAGATGAAACTCAGAAAAATCAAAATGCGTTCTTCTAGGCAGTAATGGTGTTTTAAATCAGAAAGAACCAGAATTACTGCCTCATGGTTGTATGCCTCTGCCAACCAGCTATGGGAATGGGACAGATATGAGGTCACTGACCTTGACCTTTGACCACTAAAATCTAATTAGTTCATCCTTGAGTGGACACTTGTGCCAAATTTGAAGAAATTCCCTCAAGGTGTTCCTGACATAGCGTTCACAAGAACGGGCTGGATGGACAGACATCCTGAAAGCCTAATGCCTCCGGCCATGGCTGTCACCAGAGCAGAGGCATAGAAATGACAAGCTCTCTAAAATATGGCACTAAAAAAATACTGATCTATTTTCCTTTTCTTTATTACAACTATATTTGATCCTATTCATTTTTTAAATGATATGTTTAATACATGCTTACTTCAAAGCATGATGGTCTTTAAGATTGACTGTCTTTTAGATCAACTGGGTAACATTCAAGTGAGACGGTGAGGTAACTTCCCCTCCTCTGTGTCTCACCTTGTTCTGCAATCTCAATCTCACGTCTGCCAAATTCAGCCTGCTTGATGTTCTTGACACAGAAGTCAGTGCTGCCATTGGAGTTGACCTGGGTTTTCTCCCGTGGTGAAGTCTCATCATCAGAGCTATCTGTATATGATGCAGCTGTAAATCAAGGTTTTCAGAGAACTTGCCAAATTAAGGACACAGAAATGAGTGAACAGAAGATACAAGACTTAATGAGAATTTGAAAAGGTGCACAACAGTGTTCCTTTTATTCAAGACTTGATTCATTTTAAGGAACCAAAATGTAACAAGGACCAGAAAAATAAGCATTACCAGACAACCAGAATGCTTTAAGAACATAAATCACACTAAAGTACAGTATACTGATATTTTACATAAAATAGAATTGAACTGAATTGAAATAATATACTGTATATATAATACACCAATCGAACTCTGGTGCACACACGTCTCAGGCTGTCTCTCCTTCTTACCAGAGCTGTAGCTGTCTGTGGATGACTGAGAGATGGAGCGGGACAAGGAGCGACGGCCCGCCTTGGTGGGGGAACTGCTGAACTCCTGACTGGATTTGCTAAAACAAACAAAAAGTCATGTTACAAGCTGCATATTCAGTCCTTTCATGCAGGGTTTAAACTGGAGTCAGTTTAAGCAATTAAAACACTGATATAACTGTTCAGCTGAAGGATGGGTAGAATTTTTTTTTTTAAAAGAGCACTTCCAAGTCTTCTTTGGACAGAAATGGGAGAAATGTTTTTGTTTGGGTCTTGCTTGAGGTCTTGTTTACATGGCTTTAGCCTTGACTGGATTGGGATGAAGTGAAATGATGAAAAATTAAGCTCTTTGTTAAAAATGCTGCCAACATGACAATCCTAATCAAACTAATAAGCTTATTTTGTTATATTGCCAAAAACAGTTATCTGGGTCCAGCTCAACACACACTGTGCTTATCTCACAGTGACTGATGTTCTGAAAAGCCGGCTCCATCTGACTTGTGATTGTGTAACAACTGTGAACATCCCCTCAGTTCACCATAGCTTTATTGCAATCCAAAACTTCAGACTGATTAAAATCACAAAAAAATGCACACAGCCTTCAAGCCTGAATTGGCTTATTTAATTGCCCTTTAAAGACATTACTGGAACAAATATTATAAGAGGGGACTGATAAAAGTACCCTAAAATTTGACGAACCCATCTTTTGAGAATAACCACCACATTAAACCCATACATAACATGACCTCCAACCTAATTACTATGTATAATCATTTGTAAGCTTGTCTCTTAACCATTAATACCTAAATATTAACTACAGAACATACAGTAACCCTTGAACTAAAGATCTGTAGCATAACAGCCTAACAAAAGCTAACCGTTTCTGTGGAAACTGAATAAGTAGTTCCTCTTGTGACAATTGAGCCTGGATCACAGAAGGCATAAAACCACACAGACACAACAAACGGTACTCTTTCTATCTCGAAAATAGGCTGGAGCTACCTTTGACCACATACTGTATGAGTGATGAAAGTAGCCTAAATTTATCAGTAACCTTTCTTGCTCTTTCTAACAAACATTACCACAAATTAACTCCTATTTACAGTAGTACATTATGGAGAAGCTCAATAATAACCCTTTCATCATGCTTCAGATTAAACATTTTTTTCTGATGGATGCTAGTGAAAGAGTTAACTATACTGCCAAGACCACACTTCTGTTTCATTATTACTAAAATACATCCACCAATACCCGCCCCTTCTATCAACATTTCCCAAAAGTCAAGTGAGCACAGCAGATTTCATTCTAAAAGCACACCTTTACATTCAAACAAAAATAACCATATGCCGGTTTATTTTGGTCCATATAATGCAATCGAATGGCTGCTGTGACACTGAGTCCCTCCCAAACACAGAATAAGGATGTGAAAGAGTTGGTCTGTAAGGAGACTAAAGGCTGAATCTGGGGCTGAGAGTGCTAAGACACTGCATTTGACAGATTCCTGGTCACAGTTGAGTGACATGCTAATCCCATGTAAAATGAGATTTGAAAGTGCATTTTGTTCAAAACTGGTACTCTTTTGTTCACTCCAGCTTCAATAATGTGCGCAAATACATACTTTCCATTCTCACCCTCCAAAGAAAGCAAAGTGCAGCTCTTCCTTGTTCCTTGATAGTATCTGTTAACATCCTTGTTTTGTGTTACAGGGAACAAATCATACTGTTGTTTCTTTGAGGTGGATAAGGTCCTGAATTAAAGCAATTTAGACAGATTTTCTGTCTGAAAGGAACTATGAAAAAAAGAGAACAATGGAAGTTGTCTTTCTGTTTAAGATGCACAATTGTTAGATTGAAATAAAATATTTAAATAAAGTATTTCAGACACATGTGGAATATGACCAATGTGACTCTTCATTGCTGATCTACTATTACTTTATAATACTTCTGAGCACACACACACACACACAACTTGGCCCACATTGTCTCTTTTGACTATGTCACCTCCTGTCTTAACAGAGTGTAATAAAGCCAAACTTAAAATCCCTTTATCCATTTTCTATGTTATATGGATAACTGTAAGTGCATGTCTTTGTTCAAATGACAGTCAAAATACAAATACTGAAAAAGGTCAGCACAGCAGTTAAAGCCGAGGTGCTGAAACAACTTGCACTCATCCAACTGTAAGTGATGAATTGAGCTACATTTCTCAGTTGGCACTGAGATCCTGAGACTAAATGAAACCCAGGACTAAGTGAAAGTTTGAGTTACAATACAGATTAGTCATTTTGTTTTGTTAACCAATAGATCCTTGCTGGTGTATTGGTGTAGGCATGGGGTAGCCTATATTTTGCTTTGAATGAAAATTCAAATAGCCTACCTTAAAATTAATGTAACATTTCTTTAAAAGGGAAGGATCAAGACATATGCTATATATATTTACTAAATAACTAAAGGGTGTCATTTATCTGATATTCTGTGGGGATTTACGAGGTAGACTGTGGGCATGAGTGTTATTTATTGTAAGCAATGCTGAATTTCCTAGCTGTATACACCCCAATGAAACAGGTTACAGCATCAGATGAGGTACGCCACGGTTATTACCGAGAACATTCAAAGCATTGTATACATTTACCAGGCTGTATAATGTTCTATAACGATGTCTTAACACCTAGTTAGCTAAATCTCAACCAAGGTGCCTTTCTGCCGACTTCGCTGAAGTCTTACCTTTTTCACTGGTTTATGCGTGGGCACAGCGCTGAAGGCGGATGACAGCTCTCCCATGTTCAATTCGCTATTCTTGCTTACGGTCATGGCTGAATATTTTTCCGCTACGTTTTCGCTCTCCTTCACCTCTTTGCTCGCCTGCTTCACCTCCAACTTCCCCTCTCCGACTGTGTCTGACATGTTGAAGGTGGTTGTCTAACGTTACCTGGACAGGAACAACCGCTGAGTCTAGAAACGTAAGATGCTAACTGCTGCTAGCTGGCTGCTCTGCAACAACGAGCGGAAAAGAGCCTTTCAGATCACGTATATGTAAAAAAAAAAAAAAATAATTAAGCAACTGTCTGTGTATGCTGTCCTTTGATTTGGCCCTGACAAATATCGTCAGATTGTAATGCTGCGTAGAACACAGCCGCGTTGTTTCCCTGTCACCCGGCTGAGTAAGATTGTGGGCGTTAACTAACGGAAGGGGGCGTCTAATCTATTAAGGTGCGTTCACTGTAAAAGGGACAACAGAGGTATAGAATGACGCCTGTTACACTGTAGGCTGTCAGTCAAAATTAGCAGGCTAATTTTCGCTAATGTATTGTACCATGGTTAATATTAACTGCGCTAAAAGCAAATACATTGTTTTTTAATTAAACATTGTTTACGCACTTTATCCACTTTTAGTCTAAGCGTAAACATATTCCTATTCCACGTTAAAAACTAATATTATGACATAGGCTGCAGTCCCAGCTGCATAATATTCTGTTAATATACTGTACTTAGATCTGTAATGACAGGTGGTGACCATGGGGTGTCACTCTCGGGAGACACATAAGGAAATGCTATATTAAGGTAGTACACCTCAGAGAGAGAGGACGTGACGTTTACGTTGGTCTGTATGGAGACAAGAAAATAAAGAGTCCGAACACTGAGAACTCACGTTGGAGTGGACTAATTCTTTTATGTCTGTTGGGGGCATACACAGACATTACAAGATCCATTGTAGATAGCCTACTGTCTTGTAACATGGATAAATAGACAAATTATGATTCTGGAAAACTTCTGACAGTTTCAAAATTTAGATTATAAGAAAATACATTATAAGAAAGAGAGTTCCCAGCGTTATAAATGCTACCTTAAACCCAGGAATCCTCATTCAGTACGCATGCTCCCTTTTACTGGTCCGAGACTGCAAAAATAAAACGACTATGCGGCAGTGGAGGTCTCATTATTGGATCAGTGGGAAGCTTTTTTTGCAGCTGCACTTACATTCTAAAAGGAAACAAACTTGACTGACAACTGTTTGTTCCTATTTTAATGTGTGAATGCCCTTGTTTCCGTGACATTCACGCATGGTTGCTGCAGTATGATTTAAATGTTCTGCTCTTGCTCACTGAGCCTCCAAAGCATCTCTGCAGAGCCTGAAAGGACTGAATCGTCTGAGTTACTGCAAAAAATCTGACTGAAAGAATGCATGCTAGAAAAGGCTTTAAATATAATTAATAATAATAATAATAATAATGCCATCGAATTAACTGAAAACAATCCAGGTGTGATTCTGAGAAACAGCTTGTGAGGTATGTAAGCAAAAATGTACTTTAGGGATTCTGCATGGTACAGCTACCTGACAGAAGAACATGAAACAGTAAGGAGAAAGACTGGCAAGTGTCACAGGTCACATACAGTGGATATAAAAAGTCTTCACACCCCTGTTAAAATGCCAGGTTTCTGTGATGTAAAAAAACGAGACCAAGATAAATAATTCCAGAACTTTAGCCACCTAATGTGACCTATAACTTGTACAACTCAATTGAAAAACAAACAGAAATCTTTTTTTCAGTGGGATTCCTGCAAAACCTTGCACAATTCAAGTTACATTTATGACACATACAGATATGAAGGCATGAATGTTAATGCGGGGTGTAACAGCGCATCATGGAACAATATATAGTGAGTTTAAAATGTGACTATGCGTTATGAAACTAAAGATGAACCATGATATCAAAGCAAGATTCACATGTAATTTATTTATGTTGACAAGAGGGGGCGATAGGCTTTTGGGAAGAAAACCATTACAGCTCCTTAGACAAAATTATGAGAACAGTGCCACAACCAAAGTGACTTCTACACTGTGGCCTAAACTGTGCGTTCGTTAACGGGTCGTGGTACAATGCTGTAGACGCCCGTCTGAAGTTTCCATTGTCACTGTGAAACAAATAGTATCAGCTAGGTGTTTGCAATATCAGTTATGAGGCCGTTAAATTTAGTGGGCAGGGTCATGAGGGAGGTTTTCTATAGAAACGACACACAAATACTAACTTGCGCCCCCGCCCCCCCTTCTGGGATTATCATCCTGGTAAGGTATTTTCCGTTTCGCCATTTTCCATTGGTGACGGCGAGAACGAATTTGCAGGAGAAAACCGGATAGTCTGAGTTGTGAAGCACAACAAACACGGTAGAGTTTGAGCGAAATTCTTAGTAGTGTTTTTGGTACTATAACTTTAGAAGCATGCTATGTTCTGGTCGACAGCTAGTGTTGCTAGATCCCCTTAATCTATTGTTTCAATTATGTGGTTGTTAACTGGAATGCTGCCGCTGAACGGTAGGCCTTGGAAAGATGTCAGCCATTTTGGCTACCGTGAAATAGCTACTTTTATTAGCTTTCAGAGCGTCTAAATATAACTTTGCTTTTAATTTGAATGTGGGGCAATATATTTTAAAGGCGGAAGACAACTGTTGCGTCAGCTGTTCCGATAACGTTAAAATGTTTCTCAACGTAACGTGGAGTTGGGCCTTAACTAATATGCTAATACGTTTGTTAAGCTAAAGCTAACTAAGGTTAGCATGTTCAACTGATAGAGGCCACGTTTCATTGGGTTGCCAAACTGTTTGATTTTAGATGTGCCTTTTGGATAAATGGAGCACATTTAGTTAGGTCATGAACTGTACCTTTAACACTTAGTGCGTTGCAAGTTATTCAGGGAGCATATTGTGGAAGTTTGCAGCATTAACGTTTGGTTTTACACCATCCTCGGTTAACCTGGTCTAATTTACTTGTTTGAGCTTTTCTAGTAAGAATACAAAAGCAGTGGTGGGAGGTATTTTATTTTACTTGGGTCCTGTATAATACTCGACGTAAGCTGTGGCCAGTCTTCATTGTAACCTTGTGAATTAACGTTATACAAGCATGTAAACAGTAAGCTATTTTGACTGAGCCTCTGTTCAAAGGAGAAGCCTTCTTGGACTTAAGGCTATAAGCTGCAGCAATAACCTGTTTTCTCTTTCAGATCTAGTCATGCATCGTGATTGTCCTCTTGACTGCAAAGTCTATGTTGGAAATTTGGGCAACAATGGTAACAAGACGGAGTTAGAGAGGGCATTTGGCTACTATGGACCTCTCCGCAGTGTCTGGGTGGCCAGAAACCCCCCAGGCTTTGCCTTTGTGGAATTTGAAGATCCCAGAGATGCAACCGATGCTGTGCGTGAGCTTGATGGAAGGTAGGAGGCAATCTAATCTTGGGATATATGGGGCAAAAATAAGACAGATTTACTTTGCAACCACTACAGTAACAAATGGTTGTTTTATAGGACACTGTGTGGATGTCGAGTGCGAGTAGAGCCGTCCAATGGTGAAAAGCGCAGCCGCACCCGTGGTGCTCCCCCTTCATGGGGCCGGCGTCCTCGGGACAGAGATGACTACAGGCGCCGTAGCCCACCACCCAGACGAAGGTGACCTACATGTTTTTGTTTGACTGTCAACAGTAGAGACAAACATTTGATCCATCTTGTGGCGTAATCTGCTCTGTGACATATTGATGCCGCTCTCTTACCCACAGTGTATTTCTTGGTAATTGTTTGTTTTTCCAGTCTAGGCTTTCTAGTTTTTGTAATCAGTTCTGCTGATTAATACATTTGTCACTAAGGTCTCAGGCTGCAGTTTCATCTTCATTGACATTATTTGTCATTTTATGTAGTGACCCGAAAAGAGAGGCATTTTATAACCAAATGATCTATGACGTGGAAATACAACATACTGGGTTTTGTACTGACATATGAAATCTGGCCTGCGAGACTTTGTATACAATTTCTGTGCATTCTCAGAAAGTCTCTAACTTTTAACTGCTTTAAAATGGCAAATTAGATAAGTGAAATGGTGTAGGGTAATTAAGGTAATTCCTTTGTCAAAAGTGTAATCTTTTTCTTTTTTTTCACTATGAGGATGCTTTTTATTTTCCATCTATATTAATAAGAATGAAACCCGTTGCAGAGCCACCACCATGCCTCTTCTCACCACCCTCTGAGTCAATCGACTAGTCCTCTTTCAGCATCATGTGACTGCTGACCATCGTTCCCCAATCAGCTTGGCTGGTGCTGTCACATGACCAAGGCATGGCCAGTCGTCAGGTTGCACCAGCCCATTGGTTCCTCAGCATGCCGTTCTCAACCTCCTCCTCCTTCAACCTTAACCCAAAAGGCAGCGGCCCACTTCACATTCCCGACCAATCAGCGTATTACGTTCCCAAATGTCTACAACCTACCAGCAGCAGCCTTCGGCTAACCAATTAAAGCAGGAAAAAAGCCACAGCCAACCCCCATCTGCCTGCCACCTAATCACCTTGCAGCATCTGGCCAGTCCCATTCAGCCAATTCTACCTACCCGGCCGACAGTCTGCCTCCCTTTCATCATATCTAGCTTGTTGAAAACCATAAATACTAGTAAGTTTTCCTGCTTCATTCAGTACACTGCTGATTACAGTTGTAAAAGTGAAGAGACAGCTGGTTTGAAAAGGTTTGTTTTTTGTTTTTGTTTTTTTGAATCATAGGTTTGTCATTTTGTCCTCCACCATAACTGTAATTCCTTATTTCAGAGGGGAATGGTCCAACATCAAATGTCTTAAATGTCACTTTTCCAGAGATTTCCATTATAGATAATCATCTCATATATTGGGGCTCTGAGCAGAATTATGAAGTGACATGAGTCAAAGCTCTTCTCAAGCTCCAATTAAATCTGTTTTTGTGCTGTATGGTTGATTTTAGCAGAAGTTATTAGTTTTTGTTTCCTTATATTCTTCCTTGAAGTGCAGTGGGCTAGTTTCATACAGATGGTGGGCTCTTCGTGTCTTTTATTCCCACACCAGGGCTAGTCCACAGTACCATGTTAAATTAGTTGATTTTCTAATAGTCTTTCAGACACCCTGAAAAAACCTTCCTATATTAATCATAGGACGTTCTACTCTACAATTTCATATTGTAGAGTAGAACTCAACAATATGAAGAAGACTCAACATGGAATATTCAAAATTCACACTGTATTGAAAAATGCACATAATCCTGTGGAGTAGGTGAATGTATCTGCCATCTTTATGCGCTAGGTCTATTGCTAGTTATAGATTAAGGTAATGGTCTTCCTGGGAAAATGCCCGAGTCATTTATTTCCATTTTGAGTTATTAAGGTAGACAAAGGACTGTTTTGAAGAAGGCCCATATAGGAAAGGGTTTAAAATAACGTGGAGCTCTTCGGAGGATTTGCTACATCTGTTTTTGTTTTTAACTCTTGTGTTTTTCCTGCACAGATCCCCACGCAGGAGGAGTTTCAGCCGCAGTCGCAGCAGGTATTGCAGCTTTTAATTTCCATATAGTAGAGACAAATTAGTTTTACCCCTTAAATGAAAGCATCTTTAACCTCTAGAGTCCCTGCGTCCTCATATGAGGACCGCACAGCTTGGGTTTCCAAAGCTCAGGACTCTAGAGGTTATGGACAAATGGTTTCAGGTTTCTCACACGGAGTTTCATGCGATCATATAGACAACAGAGAAGCAAGATTAGTGCATAGACCTTTTTTTTTTTCCCTCCAATGTAGTATATCCTTTCAAGTGAATAAAACTGAAACAATGTTGACTTAATGGGATGGGATGGCTTTTGCAGGTCCTTCTCCAGAGACAGGAGGAGGGAGAGGTCCCTCTCCAGGGACAGGAACCACAAACCTTCAAGATCCTTCTCTCGATCAAGAAGGTACTGATAACCTTTTAAGCTATTATAACATCATTTCAGTCTTGTCCTTTCATGTGGTAACATGAAGTGTAGTAATACGATTTGCCTATTTAAACTACTGTACATCCATTTTAGTTCTTAAAGAAAACATCACCATTGAGAGTAACTAGTACAATTATGGTACCTATAATTAAAACTTGTGTACTCAGCAGTACACTGTTGCATTTGTGAGAGTTTGCTTATTAATTCTTGTTAATTTTGACCTTTTTTTCGTTTCTCTCCCCACAGCCGCTCCAGGTCTAATGACAGAAAATAGGAATGTTGATCAGGTGTAAAGACAAACAGTTGTACAGGCTTTGCCGTTTCATATGATGGACTTCAACATGGCTGTCTGGCCCTTTTTTGGGTTGGGTTTTTTTTTAACAATGAAACATTTTAGTCTCTCTCTCTCCCCTTTCTTGTTATGCTAGTTTTCAAGTACATTGAATGGCTGCGTGCAGGAGTGATGCCTCACCCAAGTCATGTCCGTCTCGTCGGCCCTGAAAGAGTTGTGCCACCCCGCATTCCAGATCACTAGTTATTCTTACGCGCTTCTTGTTTGTCAGTGAATGTACAGTGTAGTTTGACATATAATGTAAGTAGTGCCTCATTGTTTTGTTTTTTAGGGAAGGACTTGAATGGTGTATAATAAAGTCCCTCCTTTTTATTGACTGTAAAGCCATGCTGTCTTCAATATGCTACTTTCTTTATACTGAAGGCTTCCATCTGTTTAAACTATGGCATTGTTTTTGTTTGTTTGTTTTTAAGTGTAAACAACACAGGTCTCATTTTTGTCTATGAAGTTTTCCAATTTCTTTTGTCTATCTGTAATAGTCTCTTAAAATACTGGTTGGTAAAAAAAAAACTTGCAGTGTTTTGTTTTGTTTTTTTTACCTGAGATTATTGAAATACAAATATAGTGTGTTTGTATCTATCTGTTTCTTTTCCACAAGAGGGCACTCCTACAGCATCAGTTATGTTTGGTCTGGGTTGGCTAAATTATTAAACTCAGTCACTCATATAAAAATTAGTAATAATGTAAACAGTCTTCAGTGTTTGAAATGCTCCAGTTGTCAGGCTGAGGTAATTGATTCAATAGCCATTACTCCAGGTCTAGATATCTGTAGTTGCATTTTGTATACCACAAAGGCTGTTAAATATTTTAGATTTAGACTTCTGAAAAGATTGTTGTGATTATAACTACAAGCAGTTTTTTTTAAATTGATTGGAAAAAGTAGTTTTCATTCTAATGTTAAATTTAATTGAAGATGGCCTGCCTTTTATTGGAAAGGTCTTACTAAATTATACACACATATTTGTAATGTGAATCACGTTAATGCATGTTTAGTGACTTATGTAAAGTTGCAGTTACAGATGTTAAATGTGAAAGTTGAGTTTCATTTTACAGATGCTAAATCTGTAATTGATGACTACTACAACAATGGATGAAGGAATGAGTACTGGGCAGACCCAATGAGTCAATGAGCTCTTAGGCTGGAAAATGAAGGGACTGTTTTGAAAAGTTAGTCAAATATGAGAAGCCACAAATGAGGAATAAATTGATGCAAAACAACTGCACAACCACTAAAAGGATAAATAATTACTAAAAAGAGAGGAAATGACTCCAAAGAATGCAAATGTTGAATGACATAAGGACAATACAGGGTACCAAGTGACTACAGAGATGCAAAAGGAGTAAAGACACATGACAAAAGCAGACTCAAAACAACTAAAGGGATACAAAACATCCACAAGAAGACACAATCTGACAACAAATCATGTGGCATCTTTTACTGGCCTGTGCCCAATTTGTTCATGGCTAAAACTTGCTGTTAACAAGAGCTGAGGTCTAACTAGTCACTGAAAAGAGACTTTAAATCTGAGTTAGGTATAAGTTATTTGATTGATGAAGTGATTCTTACATTGTCCCATACTTCAGTGCACCTGGCAAGTTCACCCCCCCCCCTTTCTGTTCCTGAAAATCTCCCTCCTCCTCTGCTGAACAAGGTGTCTGGGATAAAGTTGTGTAATGTGGTTGGCAGAGTTTGATCCTTTCTTGAGGACAGATAAGCAAGGGCGTCACTGTGCTTCCGATAAAGTTACTACACTTGTGGTGTAGAGTCGATTAAATGTTCTTGAGGCCTTAACTATTTTAATGAAGTAAGAGTGATACCTGTACACCATAAACGGTGTTACATGGCTGCTATTGTTCAGGCTATCTGGTGAGAGTTAATGAAACCTTTAATACTTCAGTGTGGTCTAACAGGGTGCTGTTTCTGTACAGCCGTGGGCATTTCCTGGTTCCCACTAACATTTAACTAACAGTCAGTGCTCTCGCACTGTGTAATAGTTGCTTCTGGGGAACTCCCAGAACAAGCCTACGGCTCCTGTTCACACTGTTCAGACATTCAGTCCACGTGAACCGGCACAACGCAAGCACATAGTGATCTCAAATCTGCGCGCGCTTTTCCACGTAGCCAGTATGACGACAGCGATGACTCATGGTATCCATGGAGACGGGACTCGCACTGTAGGAACCCGCGGGAATCATTGAGAAACGTGCGGTATTGCCACACTGTTATGTAACATGCTGTCCACAGAGCACATTAGGGCAGATCTCTGAAGGTTCAAAGGGGGCAGCCTGATGGTACTAATTATAGATTATGTCACTTTTATCTATTCATCTATCTGGCTGTCTAGTGGAACTATTGTTAAGCCTGCTAATCAATCAATCAATCAATCAATCAACTAAATAAATAAAAAATGTAGCAAAAATTTAAATAATGAATTGAGTAATTTATTACACTACAATGACAAATGTTTGCTTGTTCCAGGTGCTCAAAGGGGATTTTGATTACTGCTTTTCCTGTTTTATGTTAATGTAAAGACAATAGGCTATCTTTGGTTTTGGACTGTTGAAAAGGAAATTTGCATATAACTTATCATCTAACTTATTGGTATTAAATACATTTTCTGTAATGATTTTTTTTTTAAATCAAAGCCATTATTCCTGCTATAGGCAACACAGTGACTGTTTGCTTCATTCACCAAGGCATCAGACAACTTTACCTGACCCAGGAGTGTAAAAAATTAAGCATAAGGTTATGTTATGGAACCTTTGCTGCTGGTAATAAAGTTGTAAAGACCAGAAGTCTTTGACAACCTTGTCCTTCTCCTGGCCATATAGTGAGGATGCAACTCAATTGGTTCTGTAAAACATTTCACAGTTTATGCAGAACAAATGCCTGAATAAGATGAATGAAGCACAAAATACATATGAAAATGTATTTGATGGGGCTCGCAAACCCTCTGCACTGTGCAGCAGCCTTTCACTGTACATTCACATTGATCCTGCAAAAGCACAACTCCCTGCTGTGTTATAACTTTGTTTGTTTATTTTAGGGGGGTTGTTTTAGCTACCAAAATGCAACTCTAAAATATTTGTACTTCACGAGTATTTGCATTTTGATGTTTTATACTTCTATACCATACATTTCAGAGATAAATATACTTTGTATTCCACTTTATTTACTTTGCAAATTTCGCATGCAATGTTATGATCATCTCATTGTTAGAAATGAGATGAAACTGTTAGTAATCTATATATGTTTAGTTAATAGTCCCACGATAATGAATAAATAACTCAGTGTATTATTTATATATAATGATATGCTCTGAAATTGACTATTCTGTATAGTTGCATTTTTTTTAAAACTACAGGTGTGTTGCTGCACTTAAGTTACTTTGGTAGTTTTACATAAAAAGATTTGAATGTTTGCAGTGGAGATAGAAGCACTCCGATCTTTTATATGTAATAGTAGCAAAGTGTGAAAAGTCTTCAAGTCCTGACTCCTGCATTAAATGTTTCTTAAGGAAAGTTGCTTACAGAATGATCAGCAATTTTATTTATTTAATTGTTGTTATGGATTAATGAACATTGAGCACTTTAATGTTGTAGCTGTTTTTTAGGAGCTTATTTGAATTATTGTAACTGCTGCTGAGTGAGGTAGCTGATGTAGTGTTACTGCTGTGGCCTGTGGACGCACTGAAAATTCATGCCCGGGCATAATGTGCTGGATTGTCCTCCCAACTACAATGCAGTCAATTGTTCACGTGTTGAGCGAGCGAAGTCCACGTGTGGAGCGGGCTGACCCCGCCTCTGAGACCGGAGCGTAAGGTCCCCGCCCACGGGTTTCATAAAGTTTAGCCCATTTCATGTCAGTGAACATACTTGGAGAAGTGATCTTGTAGTTTGCTGATATTTTACACGCTTCTACTTAATAAAGCGTAAGGAGCTGGAACAAATATCATCCCCGGGCGTTTTCACTCCGGAGCTGTTGCTTGAAAACCAAAACAACAAGGGGACTGAGATTCATTCAACAAGTTTGAAATAAGGATTAGAACAGGATTGGACTACCCTCGGCTCAAGATGTAAGTAAAAGGAGAATGAACTAATAACGTTACTTAAAATATTCTTTGAAGTGCTTGAGATACTTGGGTTTTGTTATTAACTCTAGAAACAGATGTAGTAGCTACTATGTCCACTATCGTCTGCTAGTCTGTGTTGTCTATACTGTGTTCTCACGGATGAGTTAACGGTTACCTACGTTTCCGTAATCTATTTGATATGAACTCTACATCTGTCTTTCAGTTTTCCAGGTTTCACTTTATGACTTAAAACTCGATAACAAGCTTCCAAACACGTACAGACTTATACGTTGTTGTTCTGCTCTGGGTGTGTGTGTGTGTGTGACGGTGAGGAAGCTCTTCCAAGCTCCGGACGCTGACACGAGATGATGCAGCCTCACGCGGAGTGACAACTTCACGCAGATCGCGGAGTGTTGTAGTAAACAGGGCAGGCCCGCCACATCCTTGAATCGATCATCTGACGTCTTAACCCATGAGGGGGAAGATAAAAGAGGGTCCACAGTGTGACACAGAAGTGCTGTCCTCATAACTTTTCTACAAGAGGATTTATTAGGTTTTTTTTTGGACCCAATTTGACCAGATTTTCCCCAAAGAAGGAGCCCTACCTGACCTTAGGACATGCATCTCACAGGCCAGAGTTGTGTGATAGTAGGTGGGGGCAGACAGTGAAATCCATGTCCAGACATATCCTTTCAAAAGAAAAGTCTAAAAGTGTGGCCCTCTTGGAGTCCCACAAAGGCCCCAAGAGGTCCTCATCAAGTCATGGTACCATCTATGATTTTGATGTTTGACTGTGAAAGGCTGCCTAAACTTCTCCTTTTTAGACTACTACACTTCCTACATTTTATATCCTGTATTAAGCCTAAGTAGTAATATACCTATAAAAGTTATTACCTTTTACTGCCTCATGAACAAGTGAGTGATGTCATACACCACTTGTTGTAATTAATTGAGCTGGTTTGATCTTTAAGGAGATAAATATTTTAAGAGCAAATATTACAGTTTTAATAAAGGTTAAGGAGTTGTATTATTCAATGGAATGGACATTTTTCTAATTTCAAAATGGGGCTGATGTCAACATTGAGCTTGTAATTTCAGTCAAATAATGCATCTTTGTTCATCATTGTACATTTCTTTATAAGTTGCAGCATAAGGCTAATCTCTTGAACATGGCAGTGTGAATCAGGAAGTAACATGTTTAGATCATGCCATTCTGTTTCAGAGGCTTTGTTGAACCAATTGGAAAACTAAAAATGCCACAGTACATGACCTCAGTTTGCCCGTTCCTCTCCGCTGTGCTGTGTGGGTGCAGCCAAGTCAGATGATGCAACAAGGTGTTTTACCACACTTGTATTCACATTTTTATTAAGTTAACAGTGATCTTTATGGAGGATGTGTTTTTCTGTAACGCTGTTTAAATCTCAGGCTGGTTCTAAATCAGTTTTTAGTCCAAG